CAATCTCCGCCTTCTGGGTTCAAGCGATTGTCATGCCTCAGCCTCACAAGTAGCTGGGATTACAGGCATGCATCGCCACACCCAGGTAATTTTTGTATTTTCTCATTAAAGACAGGGTTTCGCCATGTTGTCCAGGGTCGTCTTGAACTCCTGACCTCAGGTGATCCACCCGCCTTGGCCTCACAAAGTGCTGGGATTACCGGCGTGAGCCACCACGGCCGGCCATTTTTATTGATTCTTAAAATGTAGCAATACTTCTTAAATTTGGCCAATCATGGGACTTAGCGTTTGGCAGAGACGTATACACTCGTTTTTGGCATTCCTAATAAAGAAAGACCTCTAGTAAGGGAAACTAATATTAAGTGAAGTTTAATTTTTACTTTTTCAACGTTTAATGCAATGTCTGAGGCCTAACGATAAGGAACCCCAGGCTTGAAGACATTATCCTCTAATAAATGGTATTGTATTGTAGACTTGATTCTGGAGTCTCATTACCTTGCTACCTACCAGTGCTTTTATGCCACTAAAGCATACATGGTAAATCATGGTGAATAAAGATTTGTAAATTAACAAAAATAATACTAATAAATTCTGTGAAATACTGTCCTAATAAAAGATTCCTGAAGAAATGTTCTACAGACATAGGGTATGTGTAGTAGAAAGATTCAACATTAACTCTTACATTCTACTCCTTCACATTCATTGCCTCCTATATACTGCAGAGGCAACTTAAAAATTCCTTCTCTGCTGGTGCCTAAAGGCAGTGAGAAGATTATTCATTTTGTGCAGTTAAGAGTCTACTTAAATTTTGGCTTAGGTTCAGTTACTGTAGGAATAGACACAAGGATCTCAAATGCTCTCCTTTTTGAGGTAGGCACCAAACAAGCATCATTCATTCACTCAACAATTTAATGTTCACTACATGCCAAGAGTGGTGTACAAATACCAGGTTTACAAAGGTAATCACATTTATTCCCTTAAAGAATTCAAAATTTTAGTAAAGGGAAAAGTAAACTCAGGGTTAGGGGGCAGATATCAGACCAGCATACTTCTACTTACTCTTGAGTATTTAAGGGTGGAGCAGCCATATCCCAGCTTTACTGGCATCACTCTGAAGCTTGTTAGACATACAGAATTTCGGGCTCAACCCCAATTCAATGGAATTGATATTGCATTTTTAATGAGATTTCTAAGTGGGTGGTGGGTATGCTCTTCCAAGTTTGAGAATAATTGTTTTAAAGCTCTGCTGTCCTATATTAGCCACTTGCAACATGTGCTCATTTTTATTTAAATTAATTTAAATTAAAAACTAATTTGTACACTTACTCTAGCCACATTAAGGTGCTCAATAGCCACATATGGGTAGTGGCTACCTATTGGACAGTGTCAATACAGAACATTTTTATCATTGCAGAAAGTTCTATTGGGCTGTATCTATGATAAGGGGGTTTCTTCTGAAGAGCTTCTAATCCAGTCTAGAAGGGAACACGGAGTTTGGTGGATGCCTGAGACATGTAAAAAGAAAATTGTAAGTTTGAGTGTAGTAGTGGCCTTTTTAGGAAATAAAATTAATACAATACTGTTGTACCCGAAGAGGAATTTCAAGGACGGTTATAATCGATGTGATTTCTCATGGACCTTCTGAACACATTCAATTCTAACACAAAGTCTTACTTTCTGTAATAGTCTATATATGCTTTCACCCATTTTAATATTTATTCTACATATTTTCTTTTTTTGTTGATAATCTTTAAAATCTGAATTGCGTGATGCTTAAGCACTGTCTCACTGAATTGATCTAGTGAATACTACCTACAACTCTCACAGTCATTTACTGTGGTGGTGGTGGGGATAGGGGAGTTAACACAAAATGAAGAGAACACTGAGCCATAAGTTAGACAGCTATCATTTATCTAACTAGTTTTTCCTAGCTACTTTTTGCATCTATAAAATAAATATTCCAACCATAGTGTAATGGGAAATCTACTGTTTTAGAATATATTCAGATTTAGGATTCCAAAGCAACACAGAACTCTTTTTGAGGACTACCAACGTAATAGGTGAAACTTTGCAGGACTTCAAGTTTACAGTCCATGGGGTGATCCAGCTTTCAGGAACCTTGTCCATGCTGCAATTACAGAGAAGATAAGTACCTAGGTCCCAAATTATGTAGCCCAGTTCCTTTCCTCTTTGAACATCTGGCGAAATTTTTGGTGAAACTGAGTCTCAGTTATTGCCCTCCAGAAAGGGCAGAGATTAGTTAACCCAATGCCTTTTTACTTATTGAGACCCTAAGTAGCCATGGGAACCAGTCAGTGTTGCACAAGAGTGAAATGGTGGCATCTGTTAATTGACTATATCTAACAGGGTGAACAATTCCAACAATTATCCAACAAGTATTAAGACTACAATAATGGGCCGGGCGCGGTGGCTCACGCCTGTAATCCCAGCACTTTGGGAGGCCGAGGCGGGCGGATCACAAGGTCAGGAGATCGAGACCACGGTGAAACCCCGTCTCTACTAAAAATTACAAAAAATTAGCTGGGCGCGGTTGTGGGCGCCTGTAGTCCCAGCTACTCGGGAGGCTGAGGCAGGAGAATGGCGTGAACCCGGGAGGCGGAGCTTGCAGTGAGCCGAGATCGCGCCACTGCACTCCAGCCTGGGCTGGGCGACAGAGCGAGACTCCGTCTCAAAAAAAAAAAAAAAAAAAAAAAAAAAAAAAAAAAAAAAGACTACAATAATGATCAAAATAATAAACAGTAAACAATCAGAATTTTAGTTGTATCTTTACGTCTAGGCAATATAAAGCTATGGTCCCAAAAAAGAAATACTTATATTATGCTTGTGACTATCACTGTTAATAATGATATCCATGAAGATGCACTGTCCCTGCCTCCAGAAACCTATAAAATACTTCCCTACTGGAACTATGGGGTGCTACTAATCCAATTCTGTAAGTTTAGCTCTTTTATAAACTATATTTGTATTTTTGTGGTATATAACATGGTCTTAAGTCCCAGAGACTTGTTTTCAATACATGCAAGAGAGTAAATAATTACTTAATACAAGCGTAGTAATTTTTTTTTTTTTTTTGAGAAGGAGTTTCACTCTTGTTGCCTAGGCTGGAGTGCAATGGTGCTATCTTGGCTCACTGCAACCTCCGCCTCCTGAGTTCAAGCGATTCTCCTACCTCAGCCTCCCAAGTAGCTGGGATTACAGGTGTGTGCTACCATGCCCAGCTAATTTTTGTATTTTTAGTAGAGACAAGGTTTTACCATGTTGGTTAGGCTGGTCTCGAACTCCTGAACCTCAGGTAGTCTGCCCACCTTGGCCTCACAAAGTGCTGGGATTACAGGTGTGAGACAGCCACTGCATCTGGCCAAGACAAGCTAAGTAATTTTTTATGAAATTTGTTGAATGAGGAAAGATGACTTCTTTAAAGTTGATTATTTTATCTAGGGTTTATATGAAAAAATCTTCTAATCACTATTGAGTGTAGGCCAGAATAACTTGATTTTTTGAAATGAGTATTTTTGTCAGAGGAAACATAAGATCAAACTACTTCTCTCGTTTCTTTAACAAACATAGGAGTTCATTTCAGCATCTGATTATTTGATGGAGAATATTAATGTGCTTAATTATCCAATAATAACCTAATTCCATCAGCTGTATTGCAAACTAACAGATAAGGAATGATAAGGAATAGTGAAGTTACTCATGTTTTCTCTGAAATATTTGTTCAGCTCCTTAGGTGGACATATTCAACCTGTTAATTTAGGGTGTGACAGCTTAGTTAGTATTTTGCGTGTAAAAAGCCAAGGAGAATGATGAAAATTTAGAAAGTGATTTAGATAAGATTGTTTTCTTTCTAAACCTTGATGCCCACACTTGCAATGTTGAAAGTTTGTATTTTATTTTTTTAAAGTGATTCTTACCAGTTATTCAAACAGTTTGTATACAGAGGAAGTGAAATTTGTATTATATGATTTCAAAATATAAAAAATGTACAAAATTCTATGAGGAATATTAGCAAAAAATAGTGTCTTTCATTAAATTATTTATAAAGTGATGGGGCACGAACATGTACACAAGCTCTCAATGCTCATAGTTGGCAAAATGATGTTGGCCTGCCATTCTGTTATTTGTTGGTTCAGTTTTCTTTTTTGGAGATGTGGTAGTTGATCTTTAATGCCCATTCTAGGTCGGAAAAATCCATGATGCTAACTTTTAAGAGAAGGTTGGTGACTCTACTTAGGATTTTTTTTCTATAAGAGGAATGATGTCGCCTCACGCTTATCTTTCTGGAAATGTTTAAACCACTGAAATACAGAGATCAAATCCAACTTACACACTGGTAACTCAAATATTATTTTTTAAAACTATCTTTTCTAAAATAATCACCCCTCTTATACATAGAACTTTCTACCTCAGCGCCAATTCCTAGAGGTTGATGCAAACAACTCGCCAGAGAGCCTGTGCTATTGCTCCTGCGAAAAACACCAATTTCCCTACACATTTGAATAAAAATGAGTTTATCTATATAAATTTGAGACGATAAGAATTCACAGAACAATGCCCTGGAAGAGACATTTGCAAATGAAAGAGGGAGAAATAGTATTTTTAAGGAAAACCTGAAAGTTGTCTCGATTTGACCGAAGTTTGAAAGAGAGTTGGGGGAATAAGAAAAGTTTCAAGATGCCGCTTTTAAAACTATGCATAGGAAAAAAGGCAGGAATGAAGCCCGAAGTCTCTCGGATCAGTTTCCCCCAAATTCCTCATTATTTCATGCCCAGATTTCTTATATTTTTACTCTTTTTTAAGGGGCAAGAAACACAGCAGCGCGGTAGATCGGAGGAGTCCTTTTCCAGCAGCTCCGCGCATGGAGCAAGGAACCAATCATCACTCAGCGTCTCTCTATATAAACCCTCAGCCTCCGGCGTAGAGAACACGCCGTTCTGACAGTTTGAGATTACTTTTGTCTTTTCTGGCAAGACAAAAACATGTCGGAGACTGCTCCAGTTGCTCCTATCACTCCTGCACCCGCAGAAAAAATACCTGTGAAGAAAAAGGCGAAGAAGGCAGGCGCTACTGCTGGGAAACGCAAGGCATCCGGACCCCCAGTGTCTGAGCTCATCACCAAGGCAGTGGCAGCTTCCAAAGAACGCAGCGGCGTTTCTCTGGCCGCGCTTAAGAAAGCGCTTGCGGCTGCTGGCTACGATGTAGAGAAAAACAACAGCCGTATCAAGCTTGGCCTCAAGAGCTTGGTGAGCAAGGGTACTTTGGTGCAGACCAAAGGCACCGGTGCTTCTGGCTCCTTTAAACTGAACAAGAAAGCCGCTTCCGGGGAAGGCAAACCCAAGGCCAAGAAGGCTGGCTCAGCCAAGCCTAGAAAGCCCGCTGCAGCAGCCAAAAAGCCCAAGAAAGCGAGTGGCGCCGCTACCCCGAAGAAAAGCGTCAAAAAGACTTCTAAGAAGGCAAAGAAGCCAGCAACAGCTGCTGGGACCAAGAAAGTGGCCAAGAGTGCGAAAAAGGTGAAAACACCCCAGCCAAAAAAAGCCGCCAAGAGTCCAGCTAAGGCCAAAGCCCCTAAGCCCAAGGCAGCCAAGCCTAAGTCGGCGAAGCCGAAGGTTACAAAGGCAAAGAAGGCAGCTCCGAAAAAAAAGTGAAACTGGCGGGACGTTCCGCTTTGAAAATTTAAACGGCTCTTTTCAGAGCCACCCATAGGTCTCAGTCAAAAGAGCTGGCGCCTTTTTTGCGGGGCCAGGGGGGCTGCGGGTGTGGTGTGCGGGCGCGGTCTATCCCAGTCATGCCGGTTGGGGTTCAGTAACTCACAGCTCCCAGCAGCTTGGGCGCAAGAATCCTTCTGCCTCAGCCACAGCCACCGGAGTAGCTAAGGCTACTTGAACCACCAGGTTTTGCTTTTTCTTCAAATTCCCGCGGTGGTGTGTGATTGGCCGGCTGATTTCTCTCAAAGTGTGCACTTAAAAAGTGGCTCTGAAAAAATTTTATTCCTGGCACAGGGATATGGTGTAAATGCTTTAGTTTGCTTTAGCATTGAGGTGACTTCTTGAGCACAGCCTGTCCTGGTTGTGAGCAGTACCTGGCATGCCCAAGGTTCCTGCGGCCCACCATCTTGTGCAGCGTTGAAAATGGCCAACTGCAGGTGGCGTCCGGTGTCTGTCTTTTAGCAGGCTTGTGAAACCCCTTAGCTCTGGGATATGGGCTGTCAGGTACTGTACTTGGAAATAGGCAGTGTGGGCCTGCACTGCCTGGCGCGGCGGCTCCCCTATAATCCCAGCATTTTGAGAGGCCGAGGCGGCCGCATCACGAGGTCAGGAGTTCGAGGCCAGCCTGAAAAACATGGTGAAACCCTCTCTCTACTAAACAAAATATAAAAATTAGGCGTAGTGCCGCGCGCCTGTAATTCCAGCTACTTGGGGGGGCTGAGGCCGAAGAATCACTTGAACCTGGGAGGCGGAAGTTGTAGTGAGCCGAGATCGCTCCACTGCACTCCAGCCTGGGCGATAGAGGGAGCCTGTCTCAAAAAGTGTGGCCATTCTTTTTCTGTCAGTGACCAGCGTCTCCAGGACTTATTTTCCCAGAGGCTCTCTTGCTTGTTCATTTATTTTTGCCTACTCTTAACCTTCTAGCACTGCCTCCAGGTAACACTGGCGTGCTGGCCCAACCTGCTCGGAGTAACTGTCTTTGCGGAGGACTCGGTGTATTAGGCCTACTGGCAACTAGGCCCGCGTGGCAAAGCAGGTCTTGCGTTTGGAGCGAGTTTGGTCTTGCTTCCCGCGTCCAGGTAACTTTAGAAAAAAAATGCAATTCTAGTGTTAAGCCAATCGGAGGGAGAAGTCATCATCGTCTCTGACTCAGTTTTGTAAAACTTGCTTTTCTATTGGTTTGCAGAGCCTGCTGAATTAACCAATCAGAACGTATTGTTAGATTTTTATTTGCGGGGTTTTTCCGAGCCAAAATTTTTCACCTATCAGATTGCGATATTAAAAGTTGGGTATGCTGGGACCTAGTCGAAAAGTCTGGTTTTTCCCCCCTCCCACTCAGATGGAATTCTCCAAATGGAATTCTCTTTTTGGAGACTACTCACCTTGTCATTCTGCGTAAATCTCCATAAGTATTGCTCCCACCCTGATGCTAAAAGATAGTATGAAAGGAACCTCTGTCAGTTTATAATCTACTTCCTTTCCCAAATTGCTTTCTCACAGATTGAGATGAACCAGGGAGCTAGAGTTAGCTATCCAATACATATTTGGTGATTAGATAAGAAATAGAGAAGGAAAAATAAATGAAAAACCTTGGAGAATGGAGCAAGAAGCTTGACATTGGGGTTACCAGGACAAAGAAATGGGCTGTAGGAAGTTGGGTTGACTTGGACGTACTACTGTTTCCATTGTATTTGGGAGGTTGAGGTTATTTTTTTTTTGTTTTGCTTTTGACTTTAGAAAAGCCCACTTAATCGTACTGAGAAATCTCGACAAAATCTAATTTCTACAGATGTTTATGGGACTCTAGATGGGAAAAAAATTATATTTTTACAAATCCTAAATGCAATTTGGTTATTTCCTTTGTGAGTACAGACAGCTAATCACTGGATTTCACATCAATGATAATCATAGATTTTTCATATCACTTTGTACTTATTACAGGTGTCTTGAAATAATATACACTAATTGTGAACCTTTCAAGCCAACATTATACTTGCTGCTAGATCTTATTTTTTGATGTGTAACTAAAGCATATATACAGACTTTAAGAAAAAAAAATTTTAGTGTCACTACCTTTCTTACCCCGTTTAAGTATTTTTTTAAAGCGTGGTTTTGAGAAGGTGTCTATAGATTTCCAGAATCTCCAGAATACATAGCACAAAACAAGTCATGAACTCTTGAACAAGTTTGCAGTGGGACCAAATACCATAAATATCTCATGATTATAATACTTCTTAATCTTACTTTTTTGTTTATATTCTGCTTATTAGTTAATATTTTATTATATTTTACATTATTATTTGCCTCCCTCCCCCCAAAAAAGGATGTAGCCTGTGATGTTTCTAGTTATAAGCAGGAGTTTAATTTTTTGAGAACCACGCCTACATCACACAATTTCTTATTTGTAGAGAAAGCCAAAATACCTCCCTGTATGAGAGTGGCTTGACTGAGAAGGGGATCTGAATAAATAGGAGGATTTGAAATATTTATTCAAAATAATCTTTTTGAAAATGAGTGAAAAATACAGGTATGTAGGCGTGAGCAAAACTTCTTCACCCTCCGAAAGGTCACTGAAAATCAATGGAAAAAAGGCAGATTAATAGAAAAGTCAAAATTCATCATAGGTTTATGTGACATGGGAACCTTCACAAGGAAGGCTCAGAGGTACAGGGGAAACTGTCCATTTTAATGCTTAGGGTTCAACAAAGTACCAACTGCCATGTAGAACTGTGATTGGATAAAAAGGGTGTCATCTAATGCTAATGGACTGGGGAAACATAGCAAGGCCTCTGTGCCTAGATTCTTCTTGGCCTCTGGCAAGATTCTTTCCTTCTGAGTATTCCTTCCTCATTCTAGAGGACCCTCTCTGTAATGAGGGAGGGTCTTATGATCTACAGCCAAACAACATAAGACATATACGTTTTTATGGCTAGGTTTTACACAGAAAGGAGGACGAAAAGTTACTGTAAGGTTTTTAGGTTTTATGGCTGGCTTTGAAGAAAAAGGGATTCTAGTTTCAGTAACCACCTTGGGGAAGAGGGAGTCTAGTTTTATCTGTAGCCTCAACAGAGGATGAGAGGCCAAAGAATAGCAGTAGGTCACTCACTTCTGCTTCTAAGGCCTTCCTTTTGGGGTATTATTTTACTATCCCTAATGGGGAGAAGGGATCTGGAATGTCTTTAGTACCCAGAATGACAAGATTTAGGCTTTTGATGAAAAGTGATAAGGAATAAGATAATTAGGTGGGGAATATGGTATTCCACAAGAGCAGTCCAAATGACTATGACATACCTCTGGTTCCTTACTGTTGCAAAGCACTTATTTAACTGCCTCACTTGGGCAGTTACAATGCATTTATATCAGGTATAGCTAAAATGCTTGATTTACTGTTAAGAAACTTGGCGCTTAGAAAGGTTAAATGGCAAGAAATGACCATTTGCTGTCACTAAATGGTGGACCTAGGTCTCAAAACAAGTTTCTTGATTCCTAGAATCGTTCTTACGCTGCTTCAATTCTGTTACATCAACTGGAAAAGGAGTGGTATTTTCCAGTTCCTTTTTAGGCTCATTGAGAAAGAAGCAGAATTTATGTATTTCTATTTCTGGCCCTTTGTGAAGTATCCATTTCACAATATGTTTGGTATGCAACAGAAGCAATGAAATGTAATAATTCAATCAATGATCTTCCAGAGTTTCTCTGATTTATATAAATTCATATTCATATTCATTTGCCACAGAGGCCATGCACTTGTTTTCAAGGAAATCTGAACTTGTTTAAATCTTTCTCCATATATTAAAATTTTGTAGCAGTTATAATGAATATCTTGAGATTGGTAAAGAATACTAACAGTGTCTTAGCATGGAAGTTGTGAAGGGCATTTTCATACTATCTTAGCTGTTGGAGAGTTCTTATGCGTATAGCATAGGTCTGACACAAAAGTAATTTTTAGAATCAACCTGAAGTCATTACTTTAACTTGAGGAAGCAGATTTTCATGGTATTGTGGGGAGGCCTCAATCTTCCCTGTTACACAGTCACAAAATCAGGTTGATTTTTACAGAATCCTAAATAATTCTTACATATTCTCCCTTCTACATTCTCTCTTCATTCTCTCATAGCTAGGATGATTCCAATGCTTACTAACTAGTTCCCTAATTTCTCTAGCCTCCAATTTCTCTTAACTATTTATTTACTTATTTATTTTTTGAGACAGAGTCTTGCTCTGTTGCCCAGGCTGGAGTGCAGTGGCTCAATCTCAGCTCACTGCAGCCTCTGCCTCCCTGGTTCCAGTGATTCTCTTGCCTCAGTCTCCCAGGTAGCTGGGATTACAGGCACACGCTACCATACCTGGCTAATTTGTTTTTGTATTTTTCATAGAGATGGGGTTTCACCATGTTGTTCAGGCTGCTCTCAAACTCCTAACCTCAGCTGATTCATCCACCTCAGCCGCTCAAAGTGCTAGGATTACAGGCGTGAGCACCATGCCCGGCCCATTTTAAAAAACAAACACCAAATATGCCTTATGAAAAAGGTCAGTGGCTTCTCATAGGTTCATGGGAAAGCCCTGTAGCCTCTTAGCCCCTTTTCATAATACTGTCTGCTCGCACTCACAGACACTAATAACAATGTAACCTTTCTGTTTCTTCTTATTTTATTATTATTGTTATTATTTTACAACTTTGTTCTGGAACAATTCCCTGTGAGAATCTTTATAATACTTCCAATTCCTTCTCAAATTACATCTCCCTCTAATTCAAAACGTAAACTTATCTCTGAAAATGTGCTTTCATGACATTTAATAATTAAGAACAATTATTATCAATAGAAAAATTTTAATGCGTCTATTGTTTACTCCCATTAACTAAACTGAACTATAGAGCATTTGTCTCATTTTCCACTACTCTAGGGGCGCGTGTGTGTGTGTGTATGTGTATGTGTGTGTGTGTCTGAATTTAAAAATTCCATCAAATGGGTTACATTATTGTCAGATAGTCATCAAATTCAGTGATTTCATTTTCTGTTTTCCTGTGTGAGAAAACAGGGGTAACAAATTTCTCTGCCCCTTTCATGACTCTTGTGTCCATGGCCTGATTTACAAGACTATCTTCCTTATCTTCGGAAGTATACCATTTTATATATATATGCAATTTTTAGTGGTGGCAACTACAAAACAAAAATGAAAAAAGTATTTCAAGTTTGCCTTTCAAATTCCCAAATGTTACATATCAATATTTACTGTTGGCAGGTCGAGTAGGGAGGGTATGGAGAAATAATAAAATGGGATTTCTGAATTGTCTTGAGTTTTACCTATTATCTTTATAATATGAAGAAACTACTGGTTATTCAGAGATTACATACTTATTTTATTTTAATTATAAGTACTTGCAGGCAACTATGTAACTGTGAAATGGATACACACTATAGTGTGCCAACAAGTACATAGACAATATGATCTGACACATGAGTAAGATTTGAGATCTTCCCCAAATAAAATCACAATTTATTTTAAAAACATCTAGTATTATTTACTACTTTCTCAGTGTATGCCTTTGAAGAAAGTTTCTTGTGTATATGTGGTTAAATCAAGGCTATTATTTGAATAGTACACAGTAAGGCTAAAATTTGTGAATGTTAACATCATATTTTACTGTATGTATATGAGTTTCATTTCTGTAAAATTTGCAGTACTAATTATAGTGTAACTTCACAATCATATGAGATCCTGTACATTTCATTTTATTATTATTATTATTATTTTTTGAGATGGAGTCTCGCCCTGTTGCCCAGGCTGGAGTGTGGTGGTGTGTAATCTCAGCTCACTGCAACCTCCGCCTCCTAGGTTCAAAGATTCTTCTGCCTCAGCCTCCCGAGTAGCTGGGATTACAGATGTCTGCCACCACACCCAGCTAATTTTTGTATTTTTAGTAGAGATGGTGTTTCACCATGTTGGCCAGGCTGGTGTTATTAATTTTTTTAAGATGGAATGTTGCTTTGTCACCCAGCCTAGAGTGGAGTGGCGTAGTCTCGGTTCACTGCAGCCCCTGCCTCCTAGGTTTAAGTGATTCTCCTTGCCTCAGCCTCCCAAGTAACTGGGATTACAGGCACGTGCCACTACGCCCGGCTAATTTTTGTATTTTTTTAGTAGAGACTGGGTTTAGCCATGCTGGCCAAGCTGGTCTTGAACTCCTGACCTTAGGTCATCTGCCTGCCTTGGCCTCCCAAAGTGCTAGGATTACAGGCGTGAGCCACCCTGCCTGGCCTAAGACCCTGTACATTTTAAAACATCCATTTATGCCGGGCGTGGTGGCTCGCGCCTGTAATTCCAGCACTTTGGGAGGCCAAGGCGGGCAGATCACTAGGTCAGGAGATTGAGACCATCCTGGCTAACATGGTGAAACCCCGTCTCTACTAAAAATACAAAAAAAATTTTAGCCGGGCGTGGCAGCGAGCGCCTGTGGTCCTAGCTACTCGGGATGCTGAGGCAGGAGAATGGTGTGAACCTAGGAGGCGAAGCTTGCAGTGAGCGGAGATCATGACATTGCACTCCAGCCTGGGCGACAGAGCGAGACTCCGTCTCAAGAAAAAAAAAAAAAAAATCCATTTATTTTATTGTATATGAAAAATTTAAACATGTTAGTAGCTATTCCAGGTGATAAAGCCCTCAGGAGTAAGTGATGAGGATTCTGCTGAGGCTTTTTATTTAAAACAGTAATGCCTGGTGGGGAAAGTTTTGGTTCCAGCATTATCTGAAATTTTCTTAGTTTCAGTTTAAATTAGTTTTAGATAATAGATAACTATTGAACTTACATTTTTGGAGACTTCGTAAAATACTGCATGACTTCTGGCCCATTTTGGACACTCAGTAAGTGTGGATTTTTCCTATTTAGAAAAACTATATATTAAAATTATAAAAACTTTATCTAATCTTTTATTTTTGTAAATAAGAATTCACTCAATGGTAAATTCTGTTCAGTAATCTTTTATTTTAAATCTCAACTTGACTAAATTTCCAGAGGCTTTGTTTTAGGCAAATGACCATGCTAGGTGTTCTGGTGGATTTAATGATATAAGAAGATGCATTCTGTGCCCACCAAGTCCAAGTCCTCATGTATTGAAGTCCAACAGCTGTAACAGAAATACAGGTTAAAACTTGCTGAGGTAGAATCTTAAAGAAAGTACAGGATACAGGAAACAACATTTAAATAGAGAATGCTTTTATCCAGCATAATATGATGTTCACTATGGTACAAATATCTGACAGCAGTTACCTTAATTATGGATAGTTATACTGTTTTCCTCATACACTGAATCTGTAATTCACAGGACCTACGTCTTTATGTCTGACAGGCTTCCATGAACAAAAATTTCTTCCATAAATCTCCAGGACTTCTTACTATGGCTACCTTGGCCTGCATAGCTATTTACAGCTTTGTCACTAACACATGACTAACCTCTTTCCTTAGTGCAACTTGAGGGAAAACAGCACATTAAAAAAAGTTAATAGAAATTTCTCAATGACAGTTGAAACTACTCCGCCCCATTTCAAAACTGAGGAATTTCCTGAAATGTTTAAATATAAAAAATTCTTCCAAATAGCACGTAGTATCCCATATAGTACATACACCCTTCTGCATTTCCAAATAACAGCCTGTATGATTTCGGAACAGAATTCCTTATTTTCCTTCCCTCCTTCATCTACTAGTTTCGAAGCTGTACCTTTGTATGGAAAGGCAGAATATTTTTCTGTAAGAACTTGGAAGTCGTCAAAGGATTTTCATTTGATGATAAACATGGGGTACTTTCAATGAGATTTCATTAAAACAGGGTATTTACTAAAGTTGAAAAGTTCTTTTAAGGTATCAGCTGGAAGGCCGGGCGCGGTGGCTTATGCCTGTAATCCCAGCTACTCCGAAGGCTGAGGTAGGAGCATCGCTTGAATCCGGGAGGAGGAGGTTGCGGTGAGCCGAGATCGCGCCAATGCACTCCAACCTGGGCAACAAGAAACTCCGTCTCAAAAAAAAAAAAAAAAGAAAAAAGAAAAAGGAAAACAAAAGATACCAGCTAGAAAGTTGAAAAGGCTCATGATTTTTGCATTTTCCTTTCTCAGGTATGTCAGACACACCCATCTGCACCTTCGTTGCTTTGACTCCTGCAGTTTAGAACCTAAGCAAGGCTTTCAAGTCTGCAAGAGCTGTGTTAATGCCACGGATCTAGGTGTTCCAGCTAATAACCTTAGCCTTAGACCAGTATCAGGCGCACAGAGAGGGTAACCTTGACCGCACCCAAGGCGCCGACCGTCGCCGGCAAGTAGCTGGGTCTCAAAACACTAGTGGAGTAAGACAGCCTGATGCAGACCAAAAGCGCTGGCCCCTCGGGCAAGTTCAAACAGACATCCGGGAAAGGCAAATCCAAGGAGTTGAAAGTCTATGCAGTTAAGACCTCAAATACAGGCCACCACTTGGAGGAGCCTTAAGAGCCAGAAAACAAGAGAATGGGTTAAGCGGGGGCCAGTTAAGTGGCTAGGAGTTAGAAAAGGAGAGCAAAGTACAAGAAATAAGCAGAGGGCCTGAACAGCAAAACAAAGCCTGCTAAACCAATGGAAAACCCGGGAGGGAGGCGGAGCCCCAGGCAAAACCTGAGGAAGCGCTTGAATTTGGAATTTTAAATTAAGCATTACATTGAGGGGGCTAAATGCCATTATTTCAAAGGTCTGTTTCGATCAGTGCAGTTTCGTGGTCTAATGTGTCTTGAAAGATTACAGCTTTTTTCATGGAGAAAATGATTGGCTCTGAAAAGAGCCTTTGGGTTGAAGGTTGGCACTCAAAACGATTTACGCTCTCTCGCCACGAATGCGGCGGGCAAGCTGGATGTCCTTAGGCATGATGGTGACGCGTTTGGCATGGATAGCGCACAGGTTGGTGTCCTCAAAAAGCCCCACCAAGTAAGCCTCGCAGGCCTCCTGCAGTGCCATCACAGCGGAACTCTGAAAGCGCAGGTCGGTCTTGAAGTCCTGAGCGATTTCTCGCACCAGGCGCTGAAACGGCAGCTTCCGGATAAGAAGCTCGGTGGACTTCTGGTAGCGACGAATCTCGCGCAAAGCCACGGTACCAGGGCGGTAGCGATGAGGCTTCTTCACGCCACCCGTGGCTGGAGCGCTCTTGCGAGCTGCTTTAGTCGCCAGCTGCTTGCGCGGTGCTTTACCGCCTGTGGATTTACGAGCGGTCTGCTTAGTACGCGCCATACCTCACCTGCAAAGTAAGTGGGTTAGGAAAATTGGTTTACCCCTCTATTTATATAGGAACAGAATCACTCTGATTGGATTGTGGACAATCCCTGTTAGTGATCGGTTGCTAAATTCCGGATGTGCTCGGAGCGATTCACGATTGGTTTATTTTTTCAGTGCAAGATTCTGATTGGTAAATTTGGATAGAGAACTGGCTCCTTTAAACAAGTTGTTTTTTTTGTTACAGGTATCTTTGATGTTTTGCATACAGCATGACCTGCAAAGACATTTATCATTTAACTTAAATGACTGACCTTTTATCCTGTTTAGCTATAAAAAATCGAATGTGTTTGAATTAGAAAATGCTTTAGAATTTTTTTTCAACAATCTCCGCTGCTTTGTTCTGCTTAATTTTCCTGAAGTTTTCCCCTTCCCTATCCACTCATTTAAAATCCGTCGTCTAAGTATCTCTCAATGAGTCCTCGTTTCATTAGGGAGTATAGCTAATTCATTCAAACAAGGTTTTCTAAGATACACTGTTTACACATAAGGAACTTTGTGTTTCATTTGTGTTAGAGTAAAATTCTAACATCTTGGAATCCCTACCTCTGTAATATCAGGTTTGACTCAAATCATTTAACGGTATTATTTTGTTTTGTTGAAATTAAAATGTCCAGACATAATGGCAAGAGCCGTCAAAAAAAGGTATTTTCAGTATAGAATCTTGAAAAAGATGGCGGCGAAGAGAGTCTTAGAAGGTTGTTTCTTTATAAGACAATGGCGCAGTTTCTCTAGATCCCTGCGGGAGAGAACTGAGGTGCCCTGAACAATTTAAGACACGTCCAACAGAACTTTTATAGGACCGGACTCACCCAAATAACAGGACTTCTTAACTTGGTTTTCGCTTCCAAACTCAACAGCTCCCAATTACTTTGAAAATGTTAACAAATGTTTACTGGAAAAGATTCTTAAGGAATGACATTATAGCCTAACACAGTGTTTTAAATCAACCTATCGGGTTCCCTGTAAGGTGTTCTTTTCCTAGCCAATAAAAAGAGCAGTTTGGGAATTCTTAATTTACATACTTTTAATCTATTGGCTACTTTGGTTCAGGCAGAGTTTAGATTTACAAGTTCGCGTTTGTGTAACAGTACATTTCAGAAAGGGATAGTGCGCATGCGCGCCTGTTGCGAGGTCTAGTTTCTTTTTGTTTTTCTTTCCTATTAGGTTTTCTTTCTTATTGGAAAGCTATTTTGTAAAGTGTTGTAGCAGGTCCGCAATGACGCTGGCATGTAGTCCAAGGAGACTGACATCATGAATATGCTGGAGCCCCCGTCCTCCAGGGAGGGGAGACGGCCAAACCAAATTTCTCGCTGCCCGCAAATGCCTGCGGATGCCTGCAAGCTGGAGGGGGGGAGGAGACAAAGAATGTTTTGTGCATTCCTGTTCATTCCTTGAATTCTGTTAAACCTGCCCTATTTTAGGGCATTCATCAAAATTCTGCTAACCACAGGATTGATACAATTGCACCTTTCAAGTTAGTGTCTATTTTGCAAATTTGAATTATCTTAGGACTCATGGGCAAGTCTTGACTGAAGTTACACGTTGTCACGCGTTTCAGTCTCACATCTGAAATATATATGAGTCCCTTGCTTCTCTCCTTTTCAGAAAAAGAAACTTCTGTACACTTTAAATCATGGTAAAACGGTTAGATATGTTGGCAAAATGGTTTTATAAGAAGCAAGTAAAGAACTGAAATCCTTTTGTACAATATGATCACATATCTGTGGGCTGGGCTGTTTGTTAATGAGAGCTATGCCCTCTCTATGCTTTTCCTCTCCACACTCCCTACATGTCATCTTCTGAGGTCCAAGGCCTGTTTATTGATATTATCTTCTGTTTTCTCATTTTCATTTTACTTTTTTCATTTCTATTATGAGAATGTTAATATCTACAACTAAAAAATGTTTCCAAAATCAAAAGATACACTTTAGGTTAAAGGTTCAAAACACAGTCAGTGAGAACCATTAAGGAAATTCCATCTTTATGCCCCACAGTTTGATTTCCTCCCCAGTGTTCTTAAATCTGTCAATCCGGTGTTTTGCCATCTGAAGCTACCTTCAGTTCCTTTCATAATCCTCATCTCTAAATATGTGTAAAGCTTTATTTTAGAACTCAGTGCAAAGTTTACCTGATTACATAAGAACTTACCAGCTCACTTGTATTAATCAGTAATTTCTATCATTATCTCCATACTTGAACACAATTTCCCGTAGGATCTGTGTTTTGTGATAAAACAGTCAGAAACCAGTTGTGGCTACTGAGCATTTGAAATGTGGCTGTTGCTGCTGAGGACTGACTTTCTTTTTTTTGAGGAGTCTTGCTCTGTCACTCAGGATGGAGTGCAATGGCATTATTTCAGCACACTATTACCTCCACCTCCTGAGTTTAAGCGATTCTCCTGCCTCAGCCTCCAGAGTAGCTGGAATTAGAGGTGCTGGTCACCACGCCCGGCTTATGTATTTGGGGGGCGGGCGGGGGGGAGGTATTTTTAGTAGAAATGGGGTTTCACCATTTTGGCTCAGCTGGTCTGGATCTCCTGACCTTAAGTAACCCGTCCGCCTTGGCCTCCCAAAGTGCTGGGATTACAGCCATGAGTCACCGTGCCAGGCCTGAATTTTTATTGTACTTATTTTTCGTTATTTTATTTCAAAAGCTGATACTCCAGTTATTGGAAAATGTTAGATATGTTTTGAACAATCACATATATGAATTTAATTCTACAGCATTGAAGTTTATGAAATCACAATGAAATTCCATTTACTTCCAACAAACATTTAATACCAAATTTAATAGGATGTCCCTCATATTTAGAAGACTTAAGATTTAAAAAAGAATGTGAAATATTGCATTAATAATGTTTTTATATTGACTATATTTTGAAATAATGATTTTGTATTTTGGGTTAAATATAATAATTGTTAAAATTCTTTTACCAGTTTATTAATTTTTAAAGTGTGCTTACTGGAAAAATCAACATTACATATGCAGCTTGTATTATTCTTTTTTATTTTATTCTTATTTTTTGAGGCAGTGCCTCGCTCTGTCACCCAGGCTGTGGGATTACAGGCACCAGCCACCACGCCCAGCTAATTTTGGTATTTTTAGAAGAGACGGGGTTTCACCATTTTGGCCAGGTTGATCTCGAACTTGTGACCTCAGGTGATCTGCCTGCCTCGGCCTCCCAAAGTGCTGGCATTACAAGCGTGAGCCACCGCATCTGGCCGTGGCTTGTGTTATTCTTTATAAACAGCATTGTTCCAGGATTCTCCATTTCTCTTCTCTGTTTCTTGATTCTTTACCAAATCTTGACAGCATACGCCTTGAAACAATGAGGATATTCAATATACTTCTATGAACCCAGTTATAGCATCTGGACTTAATCTACAATAAGTATCTATATCTACATCTACATGTCTATACAGTTGTGTTAGGGAACTAAGGGGGCTTGTTAAACCATTACTCATTGAGGCAAGAAGAGGTGGGTAACTAGCAAAATTATTGATGTTTGAATTTTTCCATGGCAAAATATCAGTAAGTGAACAGTATTAGAAATTCTTTTAGCCAGGCACAGTGGCTCAGGCCTATAACGCCAGTGACCCAGGAGGCTGGGGTAGGAGGATTGCTTGAAGCTAGGAATTTGAGGCTCCAGTGTCATAATTGTGACACTGCACCCCAGTCTGGGCAACAGAGCAAGACCAAAAAATGAAAAAAAAAAAATAATAAGAGAAGTATTATATGAATATTTTTCTCTCTATCGTATGTTTTTGAGGGACAGCATCTACAACTGCTAATTCTGGTGTTTAAAAAAAGGGGAAGAGAAATCACTGTGGAAGCACAATGCCATTTCATGAAAAGAAGAAAGTCCAGAAAATAATTTGCCATTCCTGGAAGCTACATAAACTCCAAGAAAGACTCAGATAAGAACATCAGGTCAATTACTTTGAAGTCTAAAAAGAATAAAAAATTAAAGTGTTTATTATTTTATAGGAGCCAAGTCAAGCTCTGAAGCTTTGCTGAAAGATTAGCTTGCAAAAGGCAGATTAACTGTAGAAAAGTTACACAAATTTATTAACGTGTTCAAGGAAGCCTTTAGAATGAAAACACAAAAGATACAAGAAAAAATTGTCCACTTTTATGCTTAGGTTCAACAGCATATGGACAACCTTGTAGAAATTTGATTGGATAAAAAGGGTATGATGTAATGTTAATAAACTGAGTGGAGAAACCCAGCAAGGCTTGTTTATCTAGACTCTTCTTGGCCTCTGTCAACTGAAGAATGAGAAGGTTTATACATTTGCAAAGGAGAGCTTTATTTCTCAAAGTATTGCAGCCTGCAAGGTGGCCATTCTGACAGGCTGGGAAGGGTAGCCTTGGTTTGCTGAGAGACAGGGAGTTGGAGGGAAGGAGGGAGGGATAAAACAGGAATTTTTGAGGAATGGGTGGGCCAAATATACTTATTTAACAGGTTATAGGAGGAGCTATGAATATTCATGAAGGAGACCCAAGCACATGTGTATTAAGTTTACATGTATGTAACATATGTCACATGATCACTTTGGGGTGAAGATTTAACATGTAAATGAGTTATAATTAGGTCCTATATATAAAACTGAAATGTAGAGCAGAAGTCTATGATCCGCATTCTGAGGAGACTGGTCACATTCAGTTGCAGGCCTGCAGTCATTTATCAAGAAACTCTATGGTCCTTAATACCTGTCTTGTCTGGACCACCATGGAGAAGGGTGGAAAGGGCCAGATAAAGTAAGTAAAGGGGCTTTCTGGTGTATTATTCCCTCAAATCGGACTTTGAGAAAATCTAGCAGTGATCAGAAAGGGGAAGAAGGGTATAAACAAACAGGATGTGCAGCCTCCATCCTGTCATGCCTGGGAACTTAAACTTTTGGGATCGTTTAGCTAAAGGAGGGTCCATTATTCTGTCAAAGGGGTTTAGAATGTTCATTTCATCCCTCACCTCTTTGAACATGCATTCTTTCCTTCTGGGTATTGAGTATGGGACAGCTCCATCTCTGGAATGGGGTGTTATGACCTGCAATTAAACAAGGTGGGTCAAATAATTTCTCTGTGGTCAGTTGTTACACAAAAAGGTGGAAGGGAAGTTAGAGTAATATTTTTAGTTTTTATGGCTGGCTTTGGGGAAAAAGGATTCTGGTTGTCATAAGCCACGCTGGGAAAGAGGAATTTTAGTTTCTATGTCTAGCCTCAGAAGAGAATGGGACTGAGAGACAGGAGGGCAGGAGAAAGTCAGAGAAAAATTTTGCTTTTGAGGTTGCTTCTTTGGCCTTCATTTTGGGGTATTGTTTCTGAGCCCGAATTTGATTAATGAGTAAAGGATGTCAAGGAGTTTTACTATGGGGCTTCATAGACAGTTTTTCTTGCAATTGCTATATTTTTATCTTGTTTTAGTTAAAATGTAGTTTAAGAAAAATCATAAGATTTCTAAGGAAAAACGGGAGGGGACATAATGTGTCCCATTACAAAACATTTATAGTTTTTACAGAGTTTGCAGGGAAATGTGCTTTCATCATCTCACAATTTACTATTGATTAAAGGTATCACACTTCTTGAAGTTACTTCTTGGAGGCTTTTGTCTGGTGATGCAAATAATTTCTGTTATTTGTATCACCAGAAATTATTTTTGATGCTAATTATTTTTGATGCAAATTTTTGTGATGCAAATAATTTCTGTTCAGTGGAACAGATATAACTCCAATTATTTAGGACCCTTGGGGCATTAATTTTTTTTGTAATCTCATTCAGCAACCTTGTCCTAATATTTAAGAAAGGGCAGCTTTTCCCTTAAGTAGCTCAGTGACTTCTGGTAGCGACGGAGTTTGCCATGATTCAGGGCCTGTATCTGAGGGACATCTTCAAGCTGTTGGTGGCCAGAGTGCTCTTTCTGGCTGCCTTGGTGGCCAGCTGCTTAGGAGGCTCTTTGCTACCAGTGGACTTTCGTGTGGTTGGCTTGGTGTAGGCCATGACCTTTCATATCAGATTTACAGATCAGTTCTCTTTTTTTTTTTTTTGTTTTGAGACAGAGTCTCGCGCTGTCGCCCGGGCTGGAGTGCAGTGGCCGGATCTCAGCTCACTGCAAGCTCCCCCTCCCGGGTTTAGCCATTCTCCTGCCTCAGCCTCCTGAGTAGCTGGGACTACAGGCGCCCGCCACCTCGCCTGGCTAGTTTTTTGTATTTTTTAGTAGAGACGGGGTTTCACTGTGTTAGCCAAGATGGTCTCGATCTCCTGACCTCATGATCCGCCCGTCTCGGCCTCCCAAAGTGCAGGGATTACAGGCTTGAGCCACCGCGCCCGGCCCAGATCAGTTCTCTTTACAGAGCCTGGTGTGATGCAATTAGTTTTGAGATTTTTTTTTGTGGAGCAATGTGACTGGATTTCTACTAAAGTTGAATAATTATGCTTTACAGTGTAGTCCATTTATAAATTTCGTTCATAAAGCTAAGTTTTTGCTGCTGGTTTTTTTTTTTTTTTTTTCTTTCCTAAACAGGATCTTGCTTTGTCCCCCATAGCTCACTGCAGCTTCGAACTCTTGGGCTCAATCAATCCTTCCCCGCCTACTTCTCCCAAGTACCTAAGATCTCAGACCAAGCCACCATGCCAGGCTAAGTTTTTCCTTTTTTTTTTTGAGACGACGGAGTCTCCCTCTGTTGCCCAGGCTGGAGTACAATGGCACCACCATCTCGGCTCACTGCAACCCCCGCCTCCCGGGTTCAAGTGATTCTCCTGCCTTAGCCTCCCGAGTAGCTGGGATTTCAGGAGCCCACTGCCAGGCCCAGCTAATTTTTTTGTATTTTTAGTAGAAACCTAATTTTTAGGTTTTGCCATGTTTGCCAGGCAGGTCTCAAACTCCTGACGTCAAGTGATCTGCCCCCCTCGGCCTCCCACAGTGCTGGGATTACAGGCGTGAGCCACCGGGCAGGGCAGGCTTTTTACTTTTTGTGGAGATGAAGGGGGTGTCTGGCTTTATTGCCCAGCCCGGTCTTGATAACCTAGGCTCAAGCGATTCTTCTGCCTTGGTCTTTCAAATTGCTGGAATTACAGGTCTGAGCGAGGGCGTTAGGCCATTACAGCTTAGTTTCGTTTAGTGTTGACTTTAGAATACTATGTTAATTGCGCTTTTTGAAAAGAGAAACCCAACAAACACAAATCTCACTGGAGGAATGTGGTCTTTTTTTTTCTTTTTTTTTTTGAGACGTAGTCATGCTCTGTTGCCCAGGCTGGAGTGCAATGGCGCGATCGTGGCTCACTGCAGCCTCTGCCTCCCAGAATCAAGCGCTTCTCCTGCCTCAGCCTCCCAAGTTGCTGGGACTACAGATGACGGCCACCACGCCCGGCTACTTTTTGTATTTTTAGTGGAGACGGGCTTTCAATTATGTTGGCCAGGCTGATCTCGAACTCCTGACCTTGTGATCCGCCCGCCTTGGCCTCACAAAGTGCTGGGATTACAGGCATGAGCCACTGAGCCCAGTCGGAATGTAGTCATTTTTAAAACTTAAAAAGCCCGCCCTGAAATGCTAATGGGCAGCTATCCTTCTTTGTTCTTATTACTGTATCAATCTTTCAGCCTTTTCTGACAAGTGCACATGAATAAACAGCCTATGTGAAATAATAAAACGTATACACACCATGGACTTATACACAAAATAACGTAGTGACACACCTTGAGGTGTTACAACATCGGTTCCTATTCTTGTGTACCTTTATAAACGCATTTTTACTGCAGACACACCAGTAAGACAAATTAGTGCACGAAATGTGAGCAAGGATTTCAATCATGAACTGACCAGTAACGTTAGAAGCATTCGTAAAACTAGAACAGGGTTTCAGGCATTGTATGTGTATTCCAGCACTTTACAGAAAAAGTAGGTGGCTCTGAAAAGAGCCTTTGGTTTCTGGGACTCGGGGTCACTGATGGACTCGACTAGTAATCATTTCACTTGCCCTTGGCCTTATGGTGGCTCTCCGTCTTCTTAGGCAGCAGCACGGCCTGGATGTTGGGCAGGACACCGCCCTGCGCAATGGTCACGCGACCTAGAAGCTTATTTAGCTCCTCGTCGTTGCGGATGGCTAGCTGCAGGTGGCGCGGGATGATGCGGGTCTTCTTGTTGTCGCGAGCCGCGTTGCCAGCTAGCTCCAAGATCTCAGCGGTCAGATATTCCAGCACCGCCGCCAGGTACACAGGAGCGCCCGCCCCGACTCGTTCGGAATAGTTGCCCTTGCGGAGGAGGCGGTGGACACGGCCGACTGGAAACTGCAGCCCGGCCCTGGAAGAACGCGTTTTAGCCTTTGCCCGAGCTTTGCCGCCTTGCTTTCCACGTCCAGACATAGTGGCTTCCTAGCAGCACAAGAGATAACAACCAACAGGATAAAGAAAAAGAATGTGCTCGATGGAGGAATAAGAAGCTAGTTATAGTCGTCGGTAGAATTGTAAAAGGCGCAGTTTGATTGGTTAAAATTATTCTTTGACGAAACAACCAATTAGAAAGGAAATAAGGTGAAAGCTATTTTACATGTATGCGTCACTAACACATTGCCCAATCAGTGCTGAATAATTTGAGTTCTTTATTTGCATAAAAGACGTATAAAAGGAGAGACTCTAGACACGAGCTGTTATTTAAGTGCTTTCATCCTTACTGTTGTTCTTAATTTCTGACAATATGCCTGAGCCAGCTAAGTCAGCTCCTGCTCCCAAGAAGGGCTCCAAGAAGGCTGTGACCAAGGCGCAAAAGAAGGATGGCAAGAAGCGCAAGCGCAGCCGTAAGGAGAGCTACTCCGTATACGTGTACAAGGTGCTGAAACAGGTTCACCCGGATACCGGCATCTCATCGAAAGCCATGGGCATCATGAATTCCTTTGTAAACGACATCTTCGAGCGCATCGCAGGCGAGGCTTCCCGCCTGGCGCACTACAACAAGCGCTCCACCATCACCTCCAGGGAGATCCAGACGGCCGTGCGACTGCTGCTTCCTGGAGAGCTGGCCAAGCACGCAGTGTCCGAAGGTACTAAGGCTGTCACCAAGTATACAAGCTCCAAGTAAATGTGTGCTTAGGCACTTTAGAACTCAAAGGCTCTTTTCAGAGCCACTCAAGTCTCACATAAAGAGCTTTAATGCTGAATATCACCGTTTTCTAGGGAATAATTTTTCCAATTTTGTAGTTCCAGCACTTTGGGAGGCCGAGGCGTGTGCGGATCTAGACTAGCCTACCTAACATGGTTAAATCCCGTCTCTACTAAAAATGTAAACAATTTGCTGGGCGTGGGGCAGTTGTCTGTAATCCCAGCTACTTGAGAGGCTGAGGCAGGAAAATCTTGAACCCGGAAGGCGGAGGTTGCAGTGAAACGAGATGGCGCCTTTGCATTCCAGCCTGGGCGATAAGGGCGAGGCTTCGTCTCAAAAAAAAAAAAAAAAAAAAAAAAGCACGAGATACACGTATTCTGTGTTGGCAAGATCCTGTAATCCTAGCAGTTTGGGAGGCCGATGCATGAGGCTCGATTCAGCTCAGGAGTTAACAGGTTTACCTGGGTAATATACTGAGAACTCATCTCTGCAAAAAATGAAACTAACCCGTTGTGACTCGTTGCGTCTGTACTATCACTTACTCGGTAGGCTGAGGACGTAGGATAGCTTAAACTGGAGCTACAGGCTGCAGGAAGATGTGATCACGCCACTGCAATTCCAGCCTGGGCGACACTGGTAGGGGTAGGAACAGTAGTCTTTGGGTCCCTGAAGATCACCTGACAAGTTTGACTCTTCTGAGCATTCTGTTGTGGAGTTTGTTGTGGAGGGACTACCATGGGCATTGGCAATGTATAGTTGAGCTAAAAATCTCGTTTTGGGCCGGGTGCGGTGGCTCACGCCAGTAATCCCAGCACTTTGGGAGGCCGAGGTGGGCGAATCACGAGGTCAGGAGATCGAGACCATCCTGGCTAATATTGAAACCCCGTCTCTACCAAAAAAATACAAACAAAATTAGTCGGGCGTGGTGGCACTTGCCTGTACTTACAGCTACTCCGGAGGCTGAGGCTGGAGAATCCCTTGAACCCGCGAGGCGGAGGTTGCAGTGAGCCGAGATCGCGCCACTGCACTCCATCCTGGGCGACAGAGTTAGACTCTGTGTATATAAATATATAAATATATACATATATAAAATATATACATATAAATATATACATATATAAATATATATACTATATATAAAAAAATATAAGTATACATACATATACCTTTGAACCCGGGAGGCGAGCCTGGTGGATCACTTGAGGTCAGGGGTTCAAAAACAGCCTGACCCACATGGTGAAACCCCGTGTCTACTAAAAATACAAAATTAGCCGGGTGTGGTGGCGCATGCTTGTAACCCCAGCTACTACGGAGACTGAGGCAGGAGAATCGCTTGAACCCGGGAAGCGGAGGTTGCAGTGAGAAGATCGCGCCATTTCACTGCAGCCTGGGCAACAGAGGGAGACTCCGTCTCAAACACAGAAACCATTAGTTTATACTCATTAATCAAATTTCTAAAATGGGACCAAAAAAAAAAAAAAAAAGTCGCTACTCCATAGTACTCCATGAGCAACCTCAGGTTTCTGAAAACGACAACATAGCACTCCAAAGTATGGTGCCTTGACACAGTGAACATTCTAAGAAATTAGTAGAACAACATAGACAGGAATGTTCTTATGACCTTCCTCTGAAGCAGGTCTTAAGACCTTCCTGTGAGTCTTGCACAGTATGAGAGGAATCGGAACAAATAGACATTGCTCGATTTCTCCTTGTTTATTATCCTTGGCTCATATTATTTTTGTCTCGTTATATTTCTGCATGACTCTCTACTCTTCTTCAAACCTAGTGCAAAAACACTCAGGTTTAACCCCTTCTTCAGGTCTTTATTTCCTTATGTCATGTAAAACTTTATATTAAATGTATATGTTTTTCTCTTGGCCAGGCGCCGTGGCTCACGCCGGTAATCCCAGCACTTTGGGAGGCCGAGGCGGACGGATCACGAGGTCAGGGGATTGAGATCATCCTGGCTAACACGGTGAAAACCCGTCTCTACTGAAAATACAAAAAAAATTAGCGGGGAATGGTGGCAGGCGCCTGTGGTCCCAGCTACTCCGGAGGCTGATGCTGGAGAATGGCGTGAACCTGGGAGGTGGAGCTTGCTGTGAGCCAAGATCGCGCCACTGCACTCCAGCCTGGGCGACAGAGCAAGACTCCGTCTCAAAAAATAAACAAATAAATAAATTTAAAAAATAAATGTGTATGTTTTTCTCTTGTTAATCTGTATTTTGTTTCAGGGCCCCAACCAATGAACATAAGATGGGTAAAAGGAAACACTCTTTCCTCCCCTACAACACACACTAGGGGTGGATGTGCATCTGTGTTCTGTGTGTTTGTCTTTGTGGAGTACAAAAGCTGGCATAACATAGAAAAGGTGTGGAGAAAAGTAATCCTAGAATGAAAATATTTGAGAAGTGTGTTTGCTAGGGCTTCCAAAACAAACTACCAAGACTGTGTGGCTTAAAAAAATTAATTTTGTCACAATTCTGAAGGCTGCAAGTTCAAGATCAACCCAGTGAGCACGATTGATTTTTTCTTGGGCCACTCTCCTTGGGGTTTCCCCTCTCTGGTCTTTCCTCTGTGTGTGTGGTTTGTTTTTTAATATAATCTTATAAGGACAGTAGTCAGGTTAGATTAGTACCCACCCCTAAAACCTCATTTTACACCTTTAAAGACCTTATCTCCAAATAAAGTCACATTTTCAAGTACTTGGTATTGGACTTCAACGTTTGAATTGTGGGCTGGGGACAGGCAATTCAGTCGATATCAAAAATTATGGTGATTAAGCTTCTAAATAGTACACGAAATAAGTATTTCACAGGCATATCAAACTCAGCGCAACTAAAACAGACCTTAAGATACACTACCTAGCTTCACTTACTCATCCAACTTTGAAATCTAGTCCCCATTCCAGAGTATTCCCTTTTCTTTTATGCAAATACTTAAAAATATACGTCTTACTGATTCTAACTTCTAATTTTATGTTAATATTGTCCATATTTTTGTTTACTGTGGCTAAAAACTGGAAATATTAATGTTGAAGAGTTAGACTTTGCCTAAAACTAGGTTTTATCCCTAATGGAATATTATGCAGCTGTTAAAAATAATGCTTTTAAAAAAGATAAACGACATAAAATATGCTCATTGCATTGTATAGGATAAATCCAAGTTGCCAAATAGCGTATTCTTATTTATGTGACATCACACACACACACATTCACACGCACACACACACTATATAGTTTTAGGAAAAAAGAGTGACTATAAGGGTCAATGCCAAAATGTTAAGAGTGCTGTTACATTTTTTTTGGTGCAATAGCTCCTCTGAAGGTAACTTTCTCTATTTGTCTCTATCCAAAACTCTCCATGGTGTGGTTAAGAAATAGGAAACTCTCCCTAGGCCCTTTCCTCTCCAAGTCTCCCTGCCCTATGTTAAGAAAAATTAATTTATTCCACAGGTAATCACTGAGCACCAACTATGTACCAGCTATTATCCTATGCAATACAAAAATGAATAGAGTAAATTTAAGATATACTTACTAAGGAAATTGAAAATCAAGACAATAGAATATCCTCGCATAAAAGGAAAAAAATTTTAAAAGTGTGAAATGACTGTAAGGAACAGGGGAACAAGAAGGATTAAGGCCAGAAAGTGACATAATTTACGGTCAGGTCATGGTTACCTCTGGGGGCAGTAGCAGGAAGATGAGAGATGAGGTCAAAGCAGTTCTTGGTAATATAACAAATATAATAGACATAACCAATATATTTGATTGATAATTGGGTTCAAGCATGGCCATCATATTATTCTTTATAACTTGTATATCGATTTGTTACATTTTTAAATGTATCTAGAAGTACAAACTTAAAAGCAAGTAAAGAAAAAATAATCTACAAACATGTTTGTGGAAAATCACTTCAACTTCTATAAAAAGAACTTCTGTAAACTATGAAATATTGCTTATAGCAAAAATTTAGTTATAAAAAAGGAAAACTCTCCTTATACTCCAAAAGACTGTAGATGCTGAAAAAATAGTGGGTGCTTAACAAAAATCTCTGCTACTATATAAAACTTGATTTTTTTCCCCCTTTTTTCCTTTTTTTTTTCAGATGGAGTCTCTTTCTGTCGCCCAGGCTGGAGTGCAGTGGTGTGATCTTGGCTCACTGCAACCTCCACTTCCCGGGTTTGAGTAATTCTCCTGCCTCAGCCTCCTGACTAGCTGGGACTACAGGCCACATGTGTGCCACCATGCTAATTTTTGTATTTTAGTAGAGATGGGGTTTCACCATGTTGGCCAGGCTGGTCTCGAACTCCTGACCTCAGGTGATCTACCTGCCTTGGCCACCCAAAGTGATGGGATTACAGGTGTGCGCCGCTGTGCCTGGCCTATGATACTTGTTTTTTAAGGGATTCTTCTTGAAATATACTCCTTTTCTGCCAGGGAAAGGAAATACTTCACATGTACGCTGAAGTATTTCATTTCATCATTTGTAAATTTGTTTAGATTTACATTTATTTCATTCATATCCATTCATTCAGGCACTTGTTCAGATAAATTAAACACATAATTTGAATTCAATATACTAAATGCAAGAAGTAGTTTTGTAAAAGATATGAGAATTGTTTTACATAATCAGAACAGTTGCTGGGTTAGGAAAGGGATTTTGTGTGGTTCCCTGTTGTTCAGAAGAAAGTCCACATTCCTGTCATTGGCCTAACATGCCTCCAAACCTGGCACAAACCCACTTGTCCAAACATCAACCATCACTTCCAATACTGACATGATTTATACTATTGTCTGAACTTCTATTTTCTTTTATTTTTTCTTTAGAGATGGAGTCCTGTTCTCATTGCCCAGACTGGAGTGCAATGGCACGATCTCTGCTCACTTCAGCCTCTGCCTCCTGAGTTCAAGTGATTCTCCTGCCTCAGTCTCCCAAGTAGCTGGGATTACAGGCGTTTGCCACCATGCCTAATGTTGTATTTTTAGTAGAGACAGGGTTTCACCAGGTTGGTCAGGCTGGTCTCGAACTCCTGACCTCATGTGATCTACCTGCCTCAGCCTCACAAATTACTGGGCTTACAGGTGTGAGCCATTGTGCCTGGCCTCTTTTCTGACATTCTACATAGTATTTAATTCTTGCTCTGCTTTCCATAAAGGCATGTTTTGACTGACCAAATAGACTGGATGCTCCTCAAGGGCAGGAAAAAAATATAGAGGGAGGTGGTGGGGAGGGGTTGTAATGCTAAACAATGTTGTTATGGATAGCCTCAAGAAGACTATGATATTTGAATACAAACCCGAAGGAAGTGAGGGAACACCACCTACAGAAATCTAGAAGCTGACTGGACCACTCAAGGGGAACCATCGGTATGTCGTTC